TTCCAAACTATATGTCAGAAAAGTTGAACCAGTTTTCAGTCTCACCAACACTGTATGAAACTGCCCACGCTCTTTTATGTTTTCACTGTATGAAGGAACCCTTATCTCTAGGTATAAATCACTAATAATGACTTGGATTCAAAAGTCACACTGTGTTCAAATTCCAGCTCCACAAGTTAATAGTCACATGGCTTTGGGTATGTGGTTCATTCTTCTTAACTATAAAATGGCCTAACAATAGTATCCTCATGCAACTTATGTGGTTAGGGAAATTGAATAAGTCATGTAAAATATTTAGATTATAATAATGATCAATAAATGTTGGTTGCTATTATTAAAATTATTTACCAACTTGTCACTTTAAAAAAAATTTGGTCTCATTTGCATATCCTTGTTTACCAATGAAACTGGTCATTTTTTCCATGTAACTATTAGTCAGCTGTAAAATTGTTTAACTTTTACTTTTTTCTTGGAAGGATTTCAAACACGTGGAGGTTAAGGACCATCCTACTAAAAGATGAAAGGGTCAACCAGGAAATTAGAGAAGAATTAAAAAGATTCATGGAAACTAATGAGAATGAAGATACAACCGTTCAAAATCTTTGGGATACAGCAAAAGCAGTCCTGAGGGGGAAATACATCACATTACAAGCATCCATCCAAAAACTGGAAAGAACTCAAATGCAAAAGCTAACCTTACACCTAAAGGAGCTGGAGAAGGAACAGCATATGAAAACTTCACGCAGCAGAAGAAGAAGGTTAATAAAGACTCGAGTAGAACTCAATGAAATAGAGACCAGAAGAACTGTGGAACAGAGTAACAAAACCAGGAGTTGGTTCTTTGGAAGAATTAATAAGATAGATAAACCATTAGCCAGCCTTATTAGAAAGAAGAAGGAGAAAAGACTCGAATTAATAAAATCATGAATGAGAAAGGAGAGTTCACCACTAATACCAAGGAAATACAAACGATTTTAAAAACTTATTATGAGTAGCTATACGCCAATAAATTAGGCAATCTAGAAGAAATGGACGCATTTCTGGAAAACCACAAACTACCAAAACTGAACAGGAAGAAAGAGAAAACCTGAACAGGCCGATAACCAGGAAGGATATTGAAGCAGTCATCAAAAACTTCCCTAGACACAAAAGTCCAGGAACAGATGGCTTCCCAGGAGAATTCTATCAAACGTTTAAAGAAGAAACCATACCTATTCTGCTAAAGCTGTTCCGAAAGACAGAAAGGGATGGAACACTTCCAAACTCGTTCTATGAGGCCAGCATCATCTTAATTCCAAAACCACACAAAGACCCCACCAAAAGGAGAATTCTAGACCAATATCCCTGATGAACACAGAAGCAAACATTCTCAACAAAATACAAGTCAATAGGATCCAACAGTACATTAACAAGATTATTCACCATGACCAAATGGGATTTATCCTGGGATGCAAGGTTACACTCAAAGCATTCAATGTGATTGATCATATCAACAAGAGAAAAACCAAGAACCATATGACCCCCTCAATAGATGCAGAGAAAGCATATGACAAAATACAGCTTCCATTCCTGATCAAAACTCTTCAGAGTGTAGGGATAGAGGGAATATTCCTCAGTATCTTAAAAGCGATCTGCTAAAAGCCCACAGCAAATATCATTCTCAATGGGGAAACACTGGGAGCCTTTCCCCTAAGATCAGGAACAAGACAGGGATATCTACTCTTACCACTGCTATTCAACATAGTACTAGAAGTGCTCGCCTCAGCAATCAACCCACAAAAAGAAATAAAAGGCATTCAAATTGGCAAAGAAGTCAAACTCTCCCTCTCCACAGATGACATGATACTGTACCTAGACAACCCAAAAGAGTCCACCCCAAGATTGCTAGATCTCATACAGCAATTCAGCAGTGTGGCAGGAAACAAAAACAATGCCCAGAAATCAGTGGCATCTCTCTATACACTAACAATGAGACTGAAGAAAGAGAAATCAAGGAGTCAATCCCGTTGACAATTGCACCCAAAAGCATAAGATACCTAGGAATAAACCTAACCAAAGAGGTAAAGGATCTATAGCCTAAAAACTACAGAACACTTCTGAAGGAAATTGAAGAAGACACAAAGAGATGGAAAAATATTCCATGCTCATGGATTGGAAGAATTAATACTGTGAAAATGTCAATGTTACCCAGGGCAATTTACACATTTAATGCAATCCCTATCAAAATACCATGGACTTTCTTCAGAGAGTTGAAACAAATCATCTTAAGATTTGTGTGGAATCAAAAAAGACCCCGAATAGCCAGGGAAATATTAAAAAAAGAAAACCATATCTGGGGGCATCACAATGCCAGATTTCAGGTTGTACTACAAAGCTGTGTTCATCAAGACAGTGTGGTCCTGGCACAAAAACAGACACATAGATCAATGGAACAGAATAGAGAATCCAGAAGTGGATCCACAACTTTATGGTCAACTAATATTCGACAAAGGAGGAAAGACTATCAACTGGAAAAAGACAGTCTCTTCAATAAATGGTGCTGGGAAAATTGGACATCCACACGCAGAAGAATGAAACTAGACCACTCTCTTACACCATATACAAAGATAAACCCAAAATAGATGAAAGATCTAAATGTGAGACAAGATTCCATCAAAATCCTAGAGGAGAACACAGGCAACACCCTTTTTGAACTTGGCCACAGCAACTTCTTGCAAGATACATCCATGAAGGAAAGAAAAGCAAAAATGAATTTTTGGGACTTCATCAAGATAAGAAGCTTCTGCACAGCAAAAGAAACAGTCAACAAAAGTAAAAGACAACCTACAGAATGGGAGAAGATATTTACAAATGACCTATCAGATAAAGGGCTAGTATCCAAGATCTATAAAGAACTTATTAAACAGCAAAGAAACAAACAATCCATTCATGAAATGGGCAAAAGACATAAACAGAAATCTCACAGAGGAAGACATAGACATGGTCAAAAAGCACATGAGAAAATGCCTCACATCACTGGCCATCAGGGAAATACAAATCAAAACCACAGTGAGATACCACCTCACACCAGTGAGAATGGGAAAATTAACAAGGCAGGAAACAACAAATGTTGGAGAGGATGTGGAGAAAGGGAAACCCTCTTGCAGTGTTGGTGGGAATGTGAACTGGTACAGCCCCTCTGGAAAACTGTGTGGAGGTTCCTCAAAGAGTTAAAAATAGAACTGCCCTGACCCAACAGTTGCACTGCTGGGGATTTCCCCCAAAGATACAGACTTAGTGAAACACCGGGACACCTGCACTCCAATGTTTATAGCAGCAATGTCTACAATAGCCTCACTGTGGAAGGAGCCTCGGTGTCCATCGAAAGATGAATGGATAAAGAAGCTGTGGTCTGTGTATACAATGGAATATTACTCAGCCATTAGAAACGACAAATACCCACCATTTGCTTCGACATGGATGGAACTGGAGGGTATTATGCTGAGTGAAATAAGTCAATCTGAGAAGGACAAACATTATATGGTCTCATTCATTTGGGGAATATAAAAAATAGTGAAAGGGAATAAAGGGGAAAGGAGAAAAAATGAGTGGGAAATATCAGAAAGGGAGACAGAACATGAGAGACTCCTAACTCTGGGAAACGAACAAGGGGTGGTGGAAAGGGAGGTGGGTGGGGAGTGGGGGTGACTGGGTGACAGGCACTGAGGGGGGCACTTGATGGGATGGGCACTGGGTGTTATGCTATATGTTGGCAAATTGAACTCCAATAAAAAATTTTAAAAAAATCTTCTGTATGCTTTACACTTTGCGCATCTCATATTGTGTTAACCATGTTTCAAGTTCTTAATAAGCACATGCAGCTCAATATTACCATTTTTCAGAGTACATACTTTTAATTTTTATGTAGTGAATCTAAAGGCCTTTTAAATTTTCTTACTCTTTACATTTTAATGCTTCTTTCCACTGAATTTAGATATTCACCTTTATGTTCTTCATTATGGCTCCTATTTAAGAGTTGAGACAATAAATATATACACCTAGCAGCCCTTTAGACATTAATGTACATCAGAATTACCAGGATTTCTTGCTAAATATTAAAGTTCTGGATCTCGATTCAGTAGATTTAGGGGAGGACCAAAATCTACATTTCTTTTTTTTTTTTTAAGATTTATTTACTTGAGAGAGAGCTAGAGAGTGAGCATAAAGGAACGTGGGAGTGGGAGCAGAGAAAGAGGGAGAGAGAAAATCTCAAGCAGACTCTTCACTGAGCATGGAGGATGCTTAATTAATCTCACCACCCTGAGATCATGACCTGAGCCAAAACCTGAAGCTTAACTGACTAATCTACCCAAGCACCCCAAGAGTAGATTTTCAAGAAATTCCTTAGGTGATTCTCCCACACACTCCTCAGGTGAAGCTGCATACGCAAGTTTATTTTATTCAGGGACTGAACTGAGACAAGAACTTAAAGCTCCTAACTCAATCATTATTAACTGTATTTTGTTAAGAGCCTACCTCTTGCCAGGCAGAATTCAGCTTGACCAGCAGAAGAAGATACTGGACTGGTGAGATATATCTTTGGAAACTCTGATAAATATCTGAAAGGAAAATTTCAGCATAGGCAGTCTTGCCTAATAGGTGGAGTTGAGAACAAAAATAGGTAAACATAGCTCACATACCTGATCCTGTTTCAGTCATGTGAAACAAACAGAGTCCTTAATTTATAAAGAATTCTTGGGTTTATTCTTCTGGCTAAAATATCCAAATTTCATAACCAATTAATTATTATGTGACCCTCCTACTTTCAAGGTCATTAAAAATAGTTTCCATTTCTTCTAAAACTACAGAAAATATAAAAGAAAACACATCAACTCATCTCACAAAATTGAGTCCCTGTATTAAATAAATCCTTTGGTATATTTAATTTCAGCATTTTTTCTTCATGTACTAAATACATAAATATAAGATTTGAAGTAAAAACACAGAGGTTGTTTTTTTAAAACTGCTTTATTGGTTTCACAATATATGAGCATCTTTCCATGCAATAGGTAAAATTCTCCTGCTAACCAAATCTTACAGATTGGGTCAAAAACACAACATTTAACTCTAAGTAATAATAGACATACCAGAAATGAGTGACATCAAAAGGTTTACAACAAACGTATATCACGAACACTTAAGTTTAGAAAGCAAGAGTCTCCCTATTAATTTCAGGGATAATATCAGGATTCAAGGCATTAGGCAAAACTCATCCTGATGGTCACGGTGAGGAGGGTCAGTGCTAACTGCCTGTAGACTATGACTGAACTGCTTTTCCTTCAGCTTTTGCATGAGTTGTCTCATCTCCTCCCCAATCTTTTCCATATTCTCTTCTCTCATCCTTCCCTGTGGCTCTTCAAGCCGCTGAATCACATCCCACCTATACTGCAGGATGGGCTGCCTAACACGGAACCGCCTATGATTTACTCGAGGCACACAATATTCACCAGTTTCCAAAGAGAGGGCCAAGGGCTCTCCTTTATTAGTATTTTGCTCCTTTTCATCATATTTTTTATTTTCCTGGTCAGTATTTTCCGTGTTGAGATTTTTTACTGCGTGTTCCTCTTGGGACGCCATTGCTCCTAGGAGACAAAAGATAAAAGAAGGGGTTGAGTTTTTGGTGGACAGGTCAGCACCGAGGACAGAAGCCTTACTGCTCATCTTTCAGAGCCCTGGATATCAACGGTTTTTAAAAATTTCATTTTCCTACCTGAAAAGCCTTGTGCGCCCTCTAGGGGGCCTCCAGTTTGGACCCTCCCCCTTCTCTCTCTTCTCTGTCTTACCTCCCTCCAAACCCACCATTTTCCTACAGTTCCAGCCCCAGGCTTCTGCAGTCACCAAAATGGAGGTGGGGGACAGGGGATGACGTAGATGGGAGGGGGTCTCAAACTCGGCTCTGCACCCGACCCCCACTCTGTCCCCCGCACCGACCTGGGCCTATCCTTGCTGTCTCCTCCTTCTCCCGATTCTCGCCGTGTGGGCGCCGCCGCGACACTTGACACCTAGGCCCGCAGTCCTGCAAAGGGCCAGCGTGGAGGGAGCGGGGAGTGTTGCGAAGCGTTTGGCGCCGACCTGCCACCACCTGGTCCCTTCCGGGTCCCGGGCCCCCCTGGCCGCCCCCCTAATCCCCATCTCCGGCTCCCAACCCTAGCGTCCCCCCACCCCGCCCGGGAGGTTCCCCATTTTCCTGCAGGAACTGGGGGTGATTTCCAGTCTCTCTTAGTTGCTCTGCTGCCCTCTGGCCGCCCCAGCACCCCCACCCCAGGGGGCCACTACGGATGTTCCCAAGAATGCTGGGGGTGGAGAAAGCTGGCCCGGACCCGCTGCGTTGATCCTAGGAGCCGGCCCCGGAGCCCTTACCTGCTCCGCTTTCCTCGGGCCTGACGCCAGCCCGCCGGGCGCAGGACACCGGGGAGCAGGTACCCAGACGGGAGTGACGACTGCACTGAAGGCTGCGTCGCTCTGCAGCTCCACGTCACGTGAGCGCCCCGCGTCACGGATGAGCTCTCTCCCCTCCCACTCCACTCCCTCTGGACGGGGCAGGGAGCTCACTGGACCCTGATCCCCACGTCCCCTATGTACCAACTACCCCTCTGTGGGTTTGTGCGCGGGGCCACGACGCTCACCGTCTTGTCAGTCACTCAGTTTTTGTACTCTCCAATCTGAGGGCCAGCTAGTGGCCTCACCGCTTAGCGGTTGAGGTTTGCCCATCTTTGATTACCGGGGAAGGTCTGCATATCACCCTCCCCCTCTCCCCAAAGCCTTGGCATTGGCTAGGTCTTTTCCGTTTTTTCTTCTCTTCTCTCTAGTTGTGTATCTGCTTCCTAAAATTTTCTCTTTATTATCTTTTTAAAATAAGTATTGCTCAAAAAACATAATTATGAGGTTTCACTCTTATAAGACATGCTTCAACACGGGAAACTCATTTTTTATGTTCTGCATCACACAGAAAATATTTTCTCTGGGCTCCACAAAACTTCATTTTATTTTATTTTATTTTATTTTTTATTTTTTTACAAAACATTTTAGAACATTCTACCTTGTTTTAATATTTTGTGAAAAAAGGTGGGGAGGAGTGCATTGGGGGACAGGGAATCTTCCTGAACACGAACAGTGTTTTGAAAATGCTCAAAGAGAAATCCAGGTGTCAGATCTTGGTCATTCTATATAAATAATCCACTGTTTCCCCTATTTCTGAAACAAATTTTAAGATTTGTTAATAAACATTTATATTTTATTCTATGATAACATTCATTATGTATGGAAAAGTATTTGCTGACAACTGAAGCCATCTGCTGAAATTTGATGGCTATTATTGATGATTTTGAATACCTAAGCAAAGGGAAGTGCTCTGAGGCAGTGGCAGGTTGAGGGATGCAGAGATAGATTGTCCCTGCCCTGACAAGAAATCAGGAAGGTGCCTGTCTTCCCAATGCCACATACAAAGGCCTTTTATGTCCTACATTCAGGCTCTTGACTGCTTAATCCAAGAATACAGATAGACAAATGATCAAGGTAATGACCTAAGTAAATTCCTTTAGTTTTTTTATTCCCCCCCCCCAAAAAAAAATTCCCACCTAGTGACTCACCTCCCAGACAGATGTGTAGGGGCAGGGCTCTGTTCTCATACCTCTTCTATACCTCTATGGTAGAGGATTCCAAGAACAGTAGAGATTTGATTGCTGTGGGGAAAGCCTCCCAGGTCGGCCTGTTCTTTCTGTTACCTTGTCCAGGTGGAAGACTCCGTGGGACATTCCTGCTATCTTTAACCTGGGTTAGGAAGTGCAGACTGCTGAGATCCTCACCCTATCCTCCCCCCCTCCAGGGCACTCAGGAAGAACCAGGCCTTGCTGTAGGGTCACTATTTGCCAGTCTATACTCACCCTGGTACTCCCTCATTTATGCCAGGGACCAAGCAACACTGACTACTGACCATCCTGAGTAAACTTGTTATTTTCAACACAGAAGTCTGTGGAACAGATATTCAAATATTATCTGTATATGTGAGAAGGTGGTAATATATTCACATTTCTGTCGGAGAGAGGGGCCAAACTTCTTAGCTGATTCTCAAAGAGGCCATGATTCATCACCTCTAAAAAAGTTTTAAAATCTTAGGACTACCGGGTGGCTCAGTACTTGAGTGTCTGCCTTAGGCTCAGGGCATGATCCCGGGGTCCTAGGATGAGTCCCCCATCAGGCTCCTGCATGGAGCCTGCTTCTCCCTCTGCCTATGTCTCTGCCTTTCTCTCTGTGTCTCTCATGAACAAATAAATAAAATCATTAATTCTTTTTTAAATCTCTATATATGCTGTCTCACTCTCTTTCTAGCTCTTGACTTTCACCTTAGACCTGCTTCTTTTTAAATTGTTTTCTGCCCTAGTATCCACCCATTGGCAAACCCAGAATCTGGGTATTATCCTTGAATCCCTCATCATTGTTCCTCATGTTCAATTAATAATCACATCTGGCTAAGAATCTCATATATTTTTAAAACAGCAGTATGGAACTATAGTTTACATACCATAAGATCTGCCAACTTAAAGTGTACACTTTAATGGTTTCTAATATACTTAAAGAAATGTGCATTCATCACCATAGTCAATTTTAGGACATTTCAGTACATCAAAAAGAAACTCAAAAAGTACACCTTCACTAATCACTCCCCATTCCACAATTCTCTTCAAGCCAAGGCACCATTAACATAATATGTCTCTATAGATTTCCCTATTCTGGATATTTCACATAAATGAAATCATACAATATGTGTTCTTTTGGGATTGACTTCTTCATTTAGCACAATGTGTTCAGAGTTCATGGCAACAAAACAATTAATCATTTGAGGAACTGCTAAATGTTTTTCCAAAGTGGTTGATCATTTTAAACTTTCTTACCAGCAGTATATGAAGATTCTGTTATCTCTACATCCTCATCAACATTTGTTATTTTCTGAAAGTTTGCTTCTAGTCATATTAGTGAAGATGAAGTAGTATCTCATGATAGTTTTGATTGGCATTTCCTAGATAATTAATGATGTTGAGCATCTTTTCATGTTATAGTTCTGCTCCCATTCCAATGTGTGTGTTTTGTTGCCAAACCACCAAGCAATTCTCTGGTATTACCTGAGTTAATTCAATTCTGACACTATCTATTTGGAGATAGTATCAGATTCTACAGCTTAAGGGCTCAATCCCGCAAGATTGCCCTCCACTTCAGATGCCAATAACAAGTTCAAGTTATTACTTGTGCTCCCTCCTTAGGTTTGATTAATATGTTGGACAGGCTCACAGAACTCCAGAAACCAGTTTACTCACTAGATTACTCATTTATCACAAAGGATATAAATCAATAGGCAAATGAAATACATAGTGTGAGATCTTGAACAAAGCTTCTGTCACCATGGAGTTTTCAACCCTGCACAGCAGCATGTGGTTCACTAACTTGGAAGCTCTCTGAATCCCATCCTTTTTGAGTTTTTTGAGTTTTTATAAGGCTTCATTACACAGATATGATTGATTGAATCATTGGCTATTGAGAATTGATTCAATCTTTCCTGCACATCTCCCCTCCTTGGAAATCCAGGGAGTGGGACGGAAAGTTCCAGCCCTCCAATCATGGTTGTTTCTCCTGGCAAGCAGCCTCATATCTTTAGGGGATTTCCAAAAGTCACCTTATTAATAAACTCAGTTGTGGTTGAAAGGGACTTGTTATAAGTAACAATGACACTCATTTTAGTTTTTTGGCTCTGAAGTGACAAAAGACCAAATATTATAACAAAAGACACACTTTTATTGCTCGTATCTCTTAGGAAATTCCAAAGGTTTTGGGGAGTTTTGTGGCAGAGGCACAAAACCAACCCAAGCATTATCAATCTTTTTCATCTTTGCAAATTTAGTAAATTAAATTAATTAAATTTATTTTAAAAATAAAATATAAAAAAATCTCACCTTATTTTTCATTTCATTAATATACTTGAGAATCTTTCTCCATGGTTTTTAGATATTCTTTTTGTGTGCGTAACTTGATTGTGTTTGTGTTCTTTGCTCGTTGTTCTAGTGGTGTGTTTTGCATAATTTGAGTCCTTTTAGCTGAATAATGACTGGTGAAAGAATGCAAGAACCAAAAGTTGGGGTTTGTATTAATAAAAACAAGTGACAATCTTGGGTTTCTCATGGCTCCAATTGTTCATTGAATTTACAACCATTGTTTGCACACTGTGATTTTTCTGAATCAGGAGGAGATTGTTGCTGTGTCACAGCACATCAGGATGACAAAAGTCTGGCAACAAGAGATTATTTTTTGCAGAAGAGGAATGGACTTTATCTACATATGCCAAAGCCTTTATACTTTCTGTTCTTGCTGCCTTTGCACAAAAGTCATCCAGGGCATTTCCTTGATACTTAATTTCAGTCCTTTTCCTGTGAGCCTCAATTTTGGTCACAACAGTTTCAGAAGGTAAGAGAATAGCTACAAGAAGGTCATTTGCTTGCTGTCTATTTTTGACTGAAGTCTCAGTGGATATAAAGGAAAGCCCTTGGTTTCTATAACATCCCCAAAACACAGCATACTGGCTGTCAATATAAATATTAATAATATGTCCTTTTGATAATTGGTATATTCTGATAAAGATATAGAGCTCTGGTTGTTAAGTTGATTTAGCTTAGGAAAGTTTAGCCTCTCAAGTAGTACGTACTGGATAGTAACAGTATAGCCTGCCTGGAAATTCTGATTTTCATTTTTACAATATGATCCATCAACAAACAAAAGTACATTGGGATTAGTCAAAGAGGCATCTCGAAAATCAGGATGCAGTGTCCTAAAATTCAACATTATTACTTCCGAGTCATGGGCTTTGCCCTTGTCAGGCAAAGGTAGTAACTATAAGATTACGAGTGTTGCAATGTTTAGGATGGAGATTAGGTGGTAAAAGCAGGAGGTTCTCATAGAAGGATAGCCTGCTTGCAGAAAACTGCTGAGTCAATTCAGAATTAAGAAGATATTGGAGAGCATGTGGAGTTTGTTAATAAATGCCATTTCTGGAGCTTGGGAAGATGGCAAAGTAGGAGGACCTAAGCTCACACCATTCCATGTTTACAACTAGGTATCACTCACAGCCAAATAAATAAACAGGAGAGGAAGCTGAAGACTGGCAGAACAAACTCCACAACTAAATGTAGAGAAGAAGCCACATCTAAGAGGTTAGGAAGGGCAGAAACGGTGGTAGGAAGCTGCCTGCAGGAAGGAGGCAACTGCAGTCACAGAGAGGGGAAAGCACCAGGGAATACCTGGAGTTGGGGGTGGGGGTGGGTGGAAAACAAATCGCCAAACATCTGTCCTTGAAAACCAGAGGGGATGAATTCGTGAGTTTGTATAACCAGTGGAATTTGGAAACTGAAGTTTTATTTTTATTTTATTTTATTTTTTTAGTTTATTATGAATATTTAATTTTATTTTATTTGTATATTTTTTATTGGAGTTCGATTTGCCAACATATAGTATAAGACGCAGTGCTCATCCTGTCAGGTGCCCCCCT